GATTACTCGGTAACTCACTCGCGCCAGTACTCAACCTCGGGGGTTGTTTTACCATCATTCTCTTTCACAAACAACATCGGGTTGTCTGGGGGCATTCTCTTTACATTCTCTTCATTCTCTTTTTGCATTCTAGTAAACAATAACACACATGCATTAATACAAGATCGGACACAAATATTTCAAACCATTTCTTTTTAGAAAATATCGGATTTTCTGGGAATATTCGCTTCACTTTGCAAACAAAAGATAATCTAGGACAGGCATGCATATATTCACAGTTTTAGAACGAGACTTAGAAATTATTTTATAGAAATATCGGATTTTCTGAAAACACTATGAGAACTACTCTAAACAAGTACAAAACCATTTTATAAAAAAATGCTTATGAACTCACCAACTTTTTAGTTGACACTTTTCAAAGTGACTAGTATTCTCAGGGATCCAATAGCAGGTAATAAGCTTGACTATGAGATCAAGTGGTGCGACTTCAAGAAATTTTACTTTTCTTACATTTGTGTAACTGATGAACAAATTCAATATGTAAACTATGTAAGTGTATATTTCCAATGTATGATGTTTGGTTGCTATGTTTCATTCATATTCAATTGTTATGATAATGTACAATGACGTCAACCGCCTCCGGACGTTTCCGCCGTCCCGGTTCGGGGGTGTGACATTCTCCTTTTAGATATGAATGTAGTTACTTTAGTTTTTGGTTATTTTCTATTTTATTTTTAAGCATTTAAATTACCAATAACATTCTCATTTATTTCTATAATAGCATTCTCCAACCGTTTTCGTATAATAATCGTTACCAATGATTTTTTATTATCTTTACTATAATCACTGTAAAATTGCTCACTGTTTATTAAACTTTTTTTTAGCTTTTAATGATATATGATATTCTTTTTCTATAATATCATCATATTTTTCTATGATAATGCATTTTACATTAGTTTGTATCTTATTTCTTTAATCATCTTTTCTTATAAAGTTGACTGATATAACATGTAATCATAAAACATTGTTATACTGAATCATAAATACATTGTTATCCTATTTTTTATTTGTATTGCTGTATAGTTTATTATTTTCAATCCAAATAACTGTCCACTTCACCATTTTGTCCCCAACAGATGGAAAAGTCACTGATAACATTAATATCATTAACATGTTAGGGTGCGTTTGGTTGGCAGGAAAAGAATGGAATTCGAGGGAAAAGGATTCCGATTCCCTCGAATTCATGCGTTTGGTTGGACTTAGAGGAGGGAAAATGATTCCTAAATGAAATAAACTTTCCACCATATGGTAGAAAGTGAATTCCTTCTAAAGTTGGATGGAAAACATTCATTCTCATCAAGGAAAGTGGCAGATTACAAAAATACCCTTTGTACTTATCAAAAAACCCACCACTACTACCACCACCACCACCATCACTATCATTGATCACCACCACCGTTGCTACCGCCGCCGCCACCACAACCACCGCCACCGCCGCCACCACCACCACCACCACCACCGCTGCCGCCACAACCACTACCACCGTCGCCGCCGCCGCCACCGACCACCACTACCACCGCCATGACCACCATCGTCGCCGCCACCACCACCCACCATCACCGTCGCTGCCACCACCCACCGCCACTACCTCCGACGCCACCACCACTACCACCGCCACCACCACCACCGCCACAGCCACCACCACCACTACCTCCGACGCCACCATCACCGCCATGACCACCGCCAGGACCACCACCCACCACCACTACCTCCGACGCCACCATCACCACCACCACCACCATCACCACCACCACCACCGTCGTCGCCACCCACCACTGTCGCCGCTACCACCACCACTGCCCTCACCACTACTGCCACCACCGCTAAAATTTTACCGTTTTTATAGTTTTCATAATGTATCTTACCATATAATTTAGAAAACACGGTAAAATTAAGCAAAACATGCAAAAAGGGTAATTATGTTATTTTACATGAATTCCAATTCCATTTCTTGCGAACCAAACAGAATCTGGAATTAATTCCAATTCCATTTCCTGCCAACCAAACAACATATGAAATTGGATTCAAATTCCTGACAGATTCATTTTCCAATTTCAATTCCAATTCCTTCAGCAGAACCAAACAGCACCTTATTGTTTTTTACAGTTACCATATATGTAGATATTGGTAAGTCTTTTACATGGACATGAAAAATAACATATTACCAAACAAAACATTCTACGTAGGTTGTTATTAAACTATATACGTTCTACAAATATTCTATTTCCAACATTTTTCAAATTAGGCCAATATACATGTGTATACCATTGGGTAACATGTTTGTGTAATTATGAATGTGAAAATGTCCTTTAGTATAAGTACATTATTAAAAATTACATGTTTTGCACAATTTTGACCTTATGCAAAAACCGCATTAGCTTTACCAAAAGATGGTGATTATGAACCTTTATTTTTCCTATTAATAATCATTAGTTTCTTCACAAGCAGATACATGGCTCAAAACACATCTGCTAAATGTAGCAATGCTTCGTCCTTCATCCTCTATTCTGAAAACGACGATTTCCTTCATACGTTTGATTTTCATGCTATTGCTGATCTCCAACAAGTAAATGAGATTTATATGCTTAACTTTCATTCATGAAATATATATTATGTCCAATAGTTTTTGTACTAATTTTACCTTCATATTTCATTTTACCTTTTTTTATTATATAATTTAAACTTACATCAATATTTTTCAGGAAAAAACATTGATTGTTGTCGGTACGATTAAGCATGTGTGTACTGATACGCAATGATATTATTTGGCTTGTACTAAATGTCAAGAGAAAACCATAAAATTCGTTTTAATTCATGAGGACCAAAAGCAAGATAAAGAATTTTTTTATTGTTACACTTTAACTTGCATGAACAAATGCATATCTGTTGTTCCAAGTTTTTCAATAATTCTTTTATACATATTATTATAATCTTCAGTTAAATTTTCTAATTTTATATTATTGAATTTTTTTATATCAATGGTTTTAGTTTCAAAATCACCATTAGAGTACAAGACTTTACCGGTGTGGTGTCACTTATGTTATTTGATCGTGACGTAATTTGAAGAACAAAGTTGATGGTTATGCAATCTCACAGTTCACTGCTGATAATATAATCATTGCTGAATTGGAAAAAAAATTAACATCGATCATGTAACATTCTTCACGAAGAATATTACACTTATTAAATTTCTTTTTTTTTATATTTCAGTTGATCAACTAACATATTTCTATGTAGTACAAATGTAGGCGTGAAAATCCGATTCGTTTAACGTTTCATCGGCATATCGTACTTCTGGAGAAGACAAGCCAAAACTGTTAATTCCAAAGCAAGAAAAATAATATATGATTTTCATGATTTTGTTTGAGTAGTTGGGTGATTTGAATACTATTGATTTCATATTATGTTTACATACTATTTGTTTTTTCGGTTTGGTTTTCGATGACTTTATTTCATATTAATCGTTTTTTAGGTTAGAATTTTGATCATTTAAATACATTTTGGGTTTTATCAAATGTTTAGTTATTCAAACCCTCATTTTCAATAGGTTTGTATTGATTTCCATCATTTCATTAAGACCGTTAATGGTTTAAATATTTCTCACTTGACCATTGACACATATAGTTAGAAAAGGTATTGAACTGATTTTATGAGTAACAAAGTAAGTACATTGCTATTATGTTTAGGTATGATTATTTTTTATTTTTTATTTTTATGTTTCTAAAAATAATTATTTTTGTTAAAATGAAATAGCAAAAGGTTTTAATCTAAAATTATAAAAATATGATTAGAGACATTTTTAGCTATTTGACAACGTTTTGGTTTAAAAATACAAAACATGATCAGGGGCATTTTAGTAATTTGATAAAGTTTCAATCTAAACTATCGTATCATGTTTTGAAAATATCATGCTGAAAAGTTCTGCTTGAGAAATTGAATTGAAAATATCATAACAATGCATATGTTACTTTTAACTAACAATTATGATAAAACATCTATTTTTTTAAATTAATAGTTTTTTGCTAAACGTTGATTAGTTAATACGATTAGTTATAACTAAAGATGAAATTAATAGGTTGGTTATTTTAAAATTTTATTAACATTTAAAAAAATGAACGAATTTTTAAATATTATTTAATTATAATTGAGAGATGTGTTAAGATTCTAATTAAATTTGGTATGATATCATTTTTTTTAATGAAAATATTGTTAAATCCTTATTAATTTTGGTATGATCTTGAATATTTTTGGTATAATTTTTTAGATGTATATTATATTATAACAAAATAGAAATTAACTATCTTTGGAATTGATACTAATTATGAAAATGTTATTTTTATATATTATTGATGATTATGATTTTCTTTAATTATTATGTCATAAGAATCCGATTAATTTTGGTATGATTTTAAAATATTTTGGTATGATCTTATTACATTTTTCTCATATTTCCCCTAAATATCGAATCATTTTTTGACACTTGTGAATATTTCACACCTATTACTTCCTGTTTTGTTTATTGCTTGTCAATTCGACTTATCAGATCAATTCAATTCATCAAATCAATAATGAAGTGCACTTCGGGCAATAAAAGTAATGTTGTACAATATCACCCATCCATCGTAACTTGTTAAATTCTATTTACTTCATTAGTACTGTTATACAAATGTTTTTGATGAATATGTTACATGTTTTATTTTATACAAAATCTGTTTATTTTAAAATTGTATAATTTTTTATTATTTTGTTTGTTTTAATGTTATCATCATTGGACTCTGTGCAAGCATATAAATGCTTTCAAGAACATCATTACAGACATTTGATAGTTTATGTTGTACAAGTAAATATTTTTAAAAACTAACGTACAAAAAACATGTTCTTGATCTGTGCAAGCATAGAAATAATGTGGTTTTTAGAGTTATTGTTCAACACAAGAAACCATGGGGAACTATAGAGCGTCAGTTTGTTCGTTCATGTGGTGGGAAAATTTTTGACATTGGTTGTATACCAAATTCGTGTACAATTTTAGCATCTTTCTTGTGCGGACTCATTGTTGGTGAATGTGAGGATGGAGATGAATATCCAGAAAAGTATTTATTTGTTTTTAAATCAACGAATTTAGATTGCAAATCGTTACCGTTTCCAATCTCTAAATATGTTGCGATAAAATTTGGTATGGTAGTTATGAGTTCGAAATCGTTGCATTTCAAGATCATTCGATCATCATACGCACTGTTATCATAAGACTTTATTTGTATTATATTTTAAGTAAATTATTTTAGTTTATTTTATTATTGATATGTTATTTTCTTTGTAGCGATCTGCTTAAGGATCATGCGAACTACGATTACTTCTACCTAGAATTGTTTGCCTCTACTACATGGGAATGGAGGGAGCTTCGTAATATCCGGTTATCATCTTATGTTTATCCTGTTTCGGATGAGGCAATTATAAGTGGATGTGTTGTTTACTTCTTACTGTCTAACTATGACATTTTGCGATTCGATGTATAATCAGGGACTATCATCACCAATACACATGTTATTGTTATCCATACTTTTGCTTCCAAAACATTGAACACAAGAAGGGGAAGCAATCTATTTTTTATGGGTTAACTTATTTTCTTTAATGAAAGGATAGCTCCCTTATATATTATCAAGCCAAACTCATTAACTAATACCTTAACTAAATAAATGGCTTAATTAAATAAACTCCATTATTTATATATTTCATTTTTATCAATACAAAATAAATAACTATTATTTACTTATTTATTCTAGTTGGTAAATAGTAAATGTATCATCTATAAATATATTATTTATTTCATCATATTTATATGCTCTTTAATGTGTGACAATATATGTTCATATATAATCAACAATATATTATATATTCTTCGTTCATTGCATACAATTCTCAAAACTTCACCCAACCACTACATTTAGAAAGATCAAGTAAACCTATACAAGAATAAAAGAATAGGATATGAGATGACTTGGGGGTTTGGGCACTTTTCCATTTCATACATTGCATTTATTTACACCATTTTTTAATCTATTATATTTATACAAGTTATGATATTAATAACAATGTACTAATCCTTTTGTAATGCTTTTACCAAATTTGATTCTTTGTTGATTTGATGAAGTTAACTCCAATATGATTCACTAGACTTCCCAAATCTAATGTACAACTTTGACATATACTCACGTTTGTTTGTAAGCCGTTCAACGATATATTTTGGAGATAAGAAGTTGACAACGAGTTTTAGAATAATACTTGATGTTTAAAATAGTCAATACCATGCTATTAATACATGTACGTCATTTTATTAGATTACACTTATGTTTCAATGTCTTTTTATGTAAGTTAACAAATTTCAAAGTTGTTGGCTAATATTTCCGAACATTTGTATAACCATAAAAGTTACAACTTTCGGCTTCCAACCATCAATTATCAATACAAACTAAATTTGCCAAACATAATATCTTTTAGGTAAATATATTGATTGAACATTTCAAAATGGGTGCTGATACTTCCACGGTTGCTTTTATTTTTTCCACTGAAAATTTAATTCAAATGACAAATATACCCTTGGTTTAAATATAATAACATTGAAATAATGATATTGAAGAGAGAGAAATATCCCATTAAATTGTTTCCAAAACTATGTCCCCGTTCTTCCTCATTTGGCTCTACAAGGGCATGTTCTTCCTTCGGTGCTGCAATCTTCACTAATGCAGACTCTTCAAAAGCTTGTCTCACATGTTTTACTAGATTAAGGTAAACTCTAATTTTTTCTATAAAAGAATAAAGAAATTTGAACTATGAGATGCAAAATTGTGCATAAATCAATAATCTATAATGATGACAAGAAATAATGAGCAAATTGAGCATAAATCAATAATCTATAGTTTACAAATTGGGGGCAGTTTTTTCCCTTTTATTCTCAACTCATCGACTTCTTCTTTAGTCAAACATTAAGGTGCTTCTATATAAGTTTAGGGTAAACTGGGGTTGCAGGTTTCCACAACATCACAGGGTATTGTAGACGAGTATTATGGTCATAGTGTCTACCACGGAAAAAGATAAAACACACCACCAGTTTTGGGAATAATTTTATCATTTTCCTGTTGTTTGAACTAATATTTAGCATTAGGCATTAGCACACGATGAAGATTCAAAATCCCAAAATTGTTTACTTAGATTGAATCGAATAACCTTAAGAACGCGGTTACTTTGTTCTAGATAAATAAATAGGGGCACAATTGCCAATTCATATATTTTAAGTGGAACTTTCAAAATATTAACGCCCAAATAAAAAAGCGACAAAGATCCAAGATTCCGGACTCGGAGCTTTTACAAGAAAAACGCGGTCTAAGGACCATATAAAACCCCGAAAATTCAGCAAAAACTGACATCGCCATTTGCAAATTTGTCAGATCTCTCGTCAAATTTCTTCAAGTCGCCAACGTTTTCTTCACATCGGTAAGATTCAAACCACGTTAATCTCGCTGATCTGCTCAAAAACGATTTATTCGATTCCATTCCATTACAAATCGTAGCTTCTTGAGGGTTTAATTGATTCCATTTGTTAGATCTTAAATCTTAAACCCCTGATTTCCGCTTTCCATTTTTGGGCGGGATCTGTTGATGTTGATTAAGTAGGTCAAATTCGATGTGCACAATGTGCAATTTCTCTGTAATACCGACTGGTTTCAGCTATGATCACCATAATTCGTATGTTCTTTTGATCAAATTGGAAGTGTCATGAAACGATCTACAAATTGAGCAAATGCTTTCGACTAAATCGGTATATAAAGACTAATTTCCTCCATTACAATCGACAAATTTGGACACATTGTTAGTTGTCACCCAAATCTCACAATTCTCCATTTGACCCATTAGATCCTGCTCGTATCTTGAATTGGCCAGTGTTCTAATTTGGGGGTGTCTTTGTTTTTCAAGATCTGTAAAAATACATGTTAAATTCTCTGTTTTCTAGTCTTGATTTTGATGTTTTGGGTTGATGCAGAACTCATGGGGACAGTTGTTGATTCTGCAAACAAGGTGAATTTTCCATTACAGCTTTCATTTATCTTACTAAATCATTTTTCTATTTATATAATTGGGTGGATTTTTTGAAAGTAAAGAGTTGTAAATTTACGCATTTAGCCCTATATCTTTAGTGATTGACTGATTTCATAGATCTAGTTCCCCCTTTCTTCCATATTACATCATCATCTTGTTGATTTGTTGAATCTTAAATGTATTAATTATTATTACATATAGCCAAAATTAAATGCCTAATTTATTGCAGGAAGAAAGCAAAAGTGTACTTAGTGAAAAGAAGCCAAAGGTTGTGTTTGTTTTAGGTGAGAACTTAAATAATCATGTTTTAGAAAGAAAAAAAAAAGAAACATGATCTAAATGACTAAAATACCCTTGGTGATCTTAAACTGAACAGGAGGTCCAGGTAGTGGTAAAGGCACACAGTGTGCGAATATTGTAGAGCACTTCGGATACACACATTTAAGTGCTGGAGATCTTCTTCGGGCAGAAATAAAATCGGGTTCCAAAAATGGGTATTTATTTATTTATTTATTTTTTATTGTATTTTTATACTACTTAATACATAAAGTCAAGAAAATCAGTTGACTTTGTACGATTTTTATTTTTATTGGTTTTTAGGACAATGATCCAAAACATGATATCAGAAGGAATAATTGTTCCTTCAGAAGTAACAATTAAACTTCTTGAAAAAGCAATTATGGAAAATGAGAATGACAAATTTTTAATCGATGGGTTTCCTCGTAATGAGGAAAATCGTGCAGCTTTTGAATCAGTTGTGAGTTTTTTTAATTTTCTTCCTAATTTATTTTTTATTAAAATTTTGAGATTAATTTATTAATCTTTTATGGTTTTATTCTAGACCGGAATTATACCCGAATTTGTTCTTTTCTTTGATTGTTCTGAGGAAGAAATGGAAAAACGCCTGTTGGGTCGTAACCAGGTTCGGTTATATAACTTTTTTTTTTTTTAAATAAAAAATATAATAATTTCTGTAGTGATTAAATTATATTTTATAAATTAAGTATAATGCTTTACGATTGAGTTTAACTAATAACTATTGCTGATTTGGGGTTTTTAGGGTAGAGTAGATGATAACATTGAGACAATAAGGAAACGATTTAAGGTTTTTGTCGATTCTAGTCTTGCTGTTATCGAGTATTATAACTCTAAGGGGAAGGTCAAAAAGGTAAATTCACAAGTCTTTTCTTGTTATATTATTATTATTTATTATATGGAAATTAATTAATATTGTTTATGTTAATGATTTATTTTTTTAGATTGATGCCGGTAAGCCCGTTGGAGAAGTCTTTGAAGCCGTTAAAGCTGCTTTCGCCCCCGCCAAATAACATGTTTGTTACGTACAATCTGTGTATCAGGCGCACTCCTGAACTGTCAGCAGTTCAGGACTGCGCCTGAACTGTCAGAAGTTCAAAACTGTCAGCAATTTATTCGAGGGTTACTCCGATTCTATCAAAGTTGTTATATGTGTTATGATTAGTTTTGTTTTGTTTTTTTTTTTTAAAAAGGAATACGTATTTACGTGATGATTTATGACAATAATATTCTTATTATTATCGATTTTTTTATACCCAAAAGTAAATTTCTAGATGATTTTAAAACTTAATATGGAAAATTTCGACAAAGAATTATAGCTCTAGTTACACAATAAAAAGAGGGTTGACAACAGGTCCCACAACCAACATGAGAAAATATAAATTACAATATCTGCATCGATTCTCACCTTCTTATTGCTAAGTCAAGGGAATTGTATACTAACATTTTTATTATGAATTATTTTAATACTCAAAACTATAATTTTAGATGCTTTTAGAACACTAAATCAAGAGTTTGAACATATAATGATAGCTCTAGTTACACAACCATCTAATTATCATAAAAAGAGGACACTAACGGGTCCCACAACCAACATAGGAAAAAGTAAATTACAATGTCCCAAGTGTGCTGCACACCGGACAATTCTCACCTTCTTACTGCTAAGACAAACATTCAGGGACAAATGTGTAAATACTAAAAGTTCAAACGAAGATAATACCATTCTCCTTGATGGTATCAAGAACAATGGCAAGTCTCCCTTCGATTCTTTCATTTTTTTTGGCTTCAAAAGTAATGGCAAAAACATCGGCTTCTTTTGATCGATCGGCTATTAACCTACCTATGACCCTACAAGCCTCGTTGTCTATAAGTGAAGGCAACGTGTTCCTTAAATCTTTTGAATTTGTAGTAGCAACGGATATCACTTTGCTTGTACCTCTATGCATTACTTTTGCATGAACAAATCTTTTTGAAAAGAAAACGTTTAGTTGAAATGGTCTCATGTACATATCCGTTCTTTGTTTCCATGATTTTTTGTTTGGTTTTTTGTCAAGATCGCTTCTTGATCTTCGTGTCCAAGCCGCTTCGACAACAAATCCCTATGAAAATGTACGTTAGATTGAGAAAAAAAAAAAGAAAAAAAAATCTTTTTGGTCTTGAAAATTATTATTAGTTTATTAACAATTTGGGGATTCAAACTTCATGTGAAAACATGATTCAAAAATGGTGTTTGGTTTGCAAAATGGTTCGAAATGAATTGAAATTTGAAGGAATTGAATTCTGTTGACGTTTGGTTTGGTTGACAGGAAATGGAATAGAATTCCGTACTAATGTGGGATTGGAATGGAATTGAATTCCAATTCCAACCAAATCCTATGAAATCCAACAAACCAAACTCCCCTTTTAATGTTTTTAGGCATTTCCAAACATAAAATCCGTACTAATTTGATCATTTTGACTTTTATGGTCAAACTTACTTCTTTTGCAACTTAAATCTGAAAAAATAAATTCATAAAGCTTTCCAGGAAGATTGAAAAACACATCTAAGTTTTTGTTATAATAACTCTAAAAAACAGAAATAATTTGACATTAACATGTAATAAAATCACATTAATTTGCATTTTGAAGGTATTTCGTTTGACTCCAAAAGTCAAAGCGCAAGAGCTCGATGAGAGATTAGGTTTACTCTATTCACGTTTCTGTTCCAAGCATTATCAATTACATAAAAATCTACATAGACAAGATCATATACATACGAACAATTTCAGTCATATTCCCTCATAATACACACACACAAAATTGTGTTTGAATTTCAAATAGATATCCAGATTAATTCGGACGAGTCTCAAGAGTTGAGCGTACCTTGTTCTTGAGGTTGCGATTTGATGATACTGAACTGAGGGATAGATTAAACTGCGGAAACGAAGAACTCCATGATAGTGAAATTGGTTTTTGAGATCGATTTCTTAAAAAATCTGATTGGAGAGTGAAAGCTGAAGCTGACGATGAAACACATGAAGCCGCCATTTGAGGGTAAAGATTGAGGAGGCAAGTCGGATAACAGATTTTGGATATGAAATATTTGTAAATATAACCCCTAACTTTAAGATGTCTTGTATATCTATCATCAATCTTTTGCTAGACCATATATCCATCCTATATAAATATCGGGTTAATTGCAAAAGACTATATTTGTACATTTTTTTTTTAAAATCAAAACCTTTTTTCTCTACCAAATTAAACCAAACATCTTTTCTTTTTGTTATTTGGTCGGGTCCCGGTTTCAAGGTTATCAACGGGTAACAGTTTGTTGACATGGTGTCATTAAATGAAAAAGAAATATGTGTAAAACTTTTTAGAACCCAACTATCGGTAGAATGTTCTCCACATACATATGCATATGAGATTATAGAGCAAAAAAAATCAGGGTTATTGGGGAAGTAACATTTGGTAAAGTAGATAACATCAAGAAGGAAGCAGGGTAAGGCATTGAAGAATGTGGATCTTGATTATGAGGTGGAGTTCGATGATGAGGTTCTTTGGCCAAATATGCCCATGGACATGAACGGGAAAAGGTTATATACGTAACATTTCATTACGATAATGATCATTTTGTTACACCTTTGTGAAGATTAATATGAGTTTTTGGATGATATGGATGAACATCTGGATGAGGATGATGATGAGAATGACGTTGGTAGTGACGTAATTGTCCATGATCCCACCATAAAATAGAATCTCATGAAACTAAAAGTTAGAGAGACATAAGAATATTTAGCAATTGGACCATGCCTTAGTAACTATATTGTTGCCAATAGTTACTCCCAAAAGTTTGAGAAGCTTGAATGTACTAGGCCAGTTGCTAGATGTGGTAGAAATATATATGCAAAAATTGTTTCCATCTCGTATGTATGCCTCATGGATGAATACAAATATATTTGTCTCGATAAAGTCCATCAAGAATAAGCACTTATGTTTTAGAAAATTCAATTTTAGACACCCTGTACCCCTTGAATGGATTTCTTATCATCTTGAGAATGAGGTAATTTTGAATTCATATGTAAAACTCATGGAAATGAAATAATTCATTAGGAAAAAGATTACCATATTTTCTTTGATCTATGTCATATATAAGTTAAGATGGCTTTTTGCTGATGTGTCACAAGGAGAATGCATATGTATCATGCAAAGTGCCTAATTGAGCTTGATTTTGGAGTACTCGCCTTTGGGATGCCTTTGTTTTCTATTGTGGCGTCTGTTGCTACGTAGGCTCCCGGATACATTGCTAGTTAGTCGTTGAGGACTTCTTCTAATGAGCATTCAGGAAGTCATGCTGCATAAGATAGACAAAACTAGGTTATAAAGTTATACCGGGTAGGGACCCTAGTATTACTCTCTAATGCCTAAGTTAGATGTCAATTTAGGATATAAGGTTAACTACTTGAAGTTTCTTTTCCTAATAGTGGTGTGTTACATGTTCGATAAGTGTATAACACTTTTTATAGGTGGAAGTCGTTCTAGTTCGTTGCTTTCATATCTAGGTATTGCTTTGGTCCAAGGGTTGCAAGGGTAGAGCCCTTTAACAAAATAATGTTGCCTTTTCCATGTTTCCAGGGATACCGCCTGTAGATCCATACGAAAGATTTTGTTTATTGTTTAGTGCTATCCGACATGATTGATTGGGTCGTCTTACTATCCGACTTCGAGGATATTTAGGCTTTGTTGATGTTGTTCAGTTTAATCTTTGCTTTGCCGACATGTTCTTGTGTTGTGGGCCTATGCCCATACACCATTAAGCCACCAGCCTAATTGTTAAAGGTGGCTGCTAGATAGGTTTTAATAATTGGGCTTAAATGCATATTGAATCGACCAGGCAACAAAGCATTTGACGTGTTTGCTACACGCCTTGGTGCTTGTGTGGCCTTTTGTTTTCTTAATGTGGAGGCGGTTTGCTTTTCCCGCTTTTTGTTTGTTATAAATTCTTGTCACATCGGATGATCTTTCCCCATTACTTTTTTCAATTATCCCTTCCTTTCCTCCATTCGAGTTTCTTCGAACTAGGAAAAGCAATGTCTTGTCGTATAATGTCTTCCCTTGTTTCTACTATTACGTATTAGCGTCTAGATCAGTTTTCTTTATTATTTCGAGGCAGGATTATGAGTTCCTCATTCCTTTTTCTTTGGGAAAATTATCGAAGCCTACGAGATTTATACTTGTCAGTTGAAACCCAACTCTGTCTCTAAAATTGTTTTTTTTGAATTGCTATGCCAACTGTGCTTGTTGTTCCAACTGTTGTTTTGTTTCAATATTTATTTCGAATTTGTAGTAGTGACGCTTGGTTTTATTTTTTCTCTAGTGGACGGAGTTTCATCAAAGTTCTTCCCGATTCGATAAAGAAATGGAAGAATAAATTTATCTGGTTGAACTCGTCTCGTTTCACATATCCTAACAAATTTCATCTTCCTGACACTATTATTGATCAGAAACCCGATAGGATGTAACGCTCGCAGATCCGGGCTAGACAAATAAGATATAATAAGTGATAAAAATGACTTTTTGATAGAGGATTATTTAGGATAAATTATCTTAACCAAAGTTATAGTAAATGTGACAGGGATTCCATACATATAAAGAACGCTGGAATTTGACTTCACATGAAGAAATTATGCTTCTCCGAAGTTTTGCTGTTAAACCGACGTCACTATGCGTATTGTAAAAAGTGAATTTTAGATAGATTATTAATTAGCCTAAGTAATCTAAATAGAAGTCATAGTAATCATAAAATCGAGAGCGTGCATATAGAGGATGTCCAAATCTGACTTCGTGAGAGGAAGTTATGATTTTTAGAAGTTTTAGCATAGCAGTATATGGCTCAAAAACCGAAATTGAAATCGGTCGATTGTTGGGAAAAACAATCTAAACGAAAGTTAAATATCTCGTCAATACCTATATGTCAATGTAAAGATAGTCGAGAACGGATATCGTATGAGAAAGTTATGATTTTTATACAGATTTTAACAGTCTAAGTCTGTTAAAAACATAGTTTTAAAAAATAAACTTAGAATTAGCCGACGGAGCCTAAATGAAAGTTGTAGATCTCGTCGATAGCTACGCGTGGATATAAAGAATGTAGAAAATGGAGCTCATACGAAGAAGATATTAATTTTTGAAGAAACTGAAAATCCTCGTGTGCGTTCACGCGCGTCGACAGGGCTCGCGGAGCGCACTGACACTCCACCTAAAAGCTGACACGTATCACCACTCGAAAATTGCCACGTCACCCGATCCGACCATATGTGTGGCGCGTAATGCTTTTTCCGCATATAAATAGGCTTCAAAATTCATTTGATCTGCACACCAAATCCAACCTTCTCTCTCGAGTCTCTTTCCAATCTAGCCCAAAATTACCTTAGTTTTAGTCTTCGGCGAAGCCCTGCGGTGTCAGATAGCCGGTGAATAGAAGCTTTCAGATTAGGATTCTACCCGCATAATTCCCAATTTTCGCAAAAAGATTTGTAAGTTAAGCTACACTTATTTTATTCAAGTGTAACTTTTAATTATAGTCATAGTCGTTATTATGAACCTATAATTAAGATTTATCAGAGATTCCAAGTCATTATACTGATTAATCTACTTACGAGGATGATGTCTAGGATGGATTTAGTGAGGCGTTTAAAGTGAGATTTCCAAACAGTATACTTTATATACCAAACAGACCCTACCTCCGATATGATCCTACCTAGTTGTTCCTTACTTGATATATCTTGATGTAGACATTGGGATTAGTGAGGAATCTAGACTATCATTAGTTTCCAGGAATATAAGACTTAGACTTAGTAATATGAACCAAGGTAACAACAGAAGAAAAGATAAAGTACCAAGGCGAAGTTCTGCCCAAATTCCAAGGCATCCACTTTTATCAAGTGAGTGTATAGTCTCCTTCATGAACATGATTTTAATACAATTATTAATTAAAGTATTAAATATATGTAAAAGAGTTTATATGTGATCTATATGCTTATTGCCTGGAATACGTGTTAAAAATGTATTTAACGATACATGATATGTGAACCAGTTATGGTTCTAAATGAGTTAAGGTACATATCTACTAGTTCATGATAATAATAAAAGAAGTATCATTAGAGATAAGGATAAAATTTTATTAATACCTAAACACTCTACGTTAAATATACACTGAAGTAGGATAATGTTGCCTTAGCAGAGTTGGTACTAGGAGTTGAGCATAGTAGTCTTACTAAGAGACAATATAAGACCTTGAAAAGGAGGTCTAAGTTAAGTAAGATGGATATTGGGTAACAACTTCTTATGAGTACGTGTATGCTTTTTATAAGAGGTGAGTTATCCGATCTTAAGACTTGATGGCTATTAGCATTTCCACTTAAGTCACTTTTCCCGTTGTTAGTTTCCATTTGTGTCGTCCCATTAACACGTGGCACTATTTGGTTCCCCATAATGGTTTTTGTGGTGTAGGCTTGCTGGTGTTGTGGAGGCCAACATGCTTGATAATGTTAATGGATTTGTTAGGTTACAACAATATGCACAATGCGGAAAAAAACACTTAACAATTATGAAGGGCACATGCAACCTAAAAGGATTTATGTATTTCACATTAAGGCGACATACTTTGAATAACAAAACTAAGATAAATCCTAGCAATTTCAAAAATCAGAAATCAAGGCTACATACCTCAAACTTGACATATCAAACAAGTTACTTCAATCCTTCCTTTGAAGAACATGGAAAGCTAGCACCAAAAGGATGATGCCTCTAATGGCTCACACCCAAAACCTAGAACTAGAAGAAAATTGAGGAGAGAGAGAGATGAGGAGAGGTATAAATTTCGTTCACCGCCTTTAAGGGAAGAGTATCAACGAATTTGAGGATCCAAGGGGTCATATTTATAGCGATCACAAAGATAAACCCTGATTTGAATAATTAAATATCTAATTTAATCTATTCAAGGCGATTATCATTATCAGCTTCAAGAGGATTCTAGAAGCCCTAAAAACCCCCCACAAAAATGTTCACCCTATAGAACTCTCTAGAATTGACTTTCCTTGCTCAACTA